CATTACAAAACATTTAAGCTTATTCAACAGCATAATAAAAGGTATTTCCGCACTTCATGTAGACGCACAACTAAAGACACAACTTAAAATGTACTCATTTATTTGTATATGGTACAAATAGCCTAATACTCCTAAAACAGCAGTTCTTCAACTTACAGTACCCAGCAATTTAATTTAGCAATTTAGCCTACACTGCTGCAGCATATCATGTGTAAAACCATTCTCATTGTACTGCTACAATAAACAGCAAAAAGACTGTCACACTTTGTAAATTCAAGATTCAATCTCACAAGAGAACGTAGTTCTGCAAACCTTCCACAGTCGCATATTGCACAGATGAAGGTCAGGGAAGCCATGACGGTGCCGTCTGTAATACCCCAGTTCTTTAATTGGACAGATCTGAATAACGAAGGAGTCCGTCTTTCTTCATTTTAGTGCTGATTTATTTTAAACCACAAGTAAAATTACAAACATGACCCAGGTTGTTCCTTCCTCCAGAAACACACACACTCTGGCTGCTGGAAAGAGGAGATCCAAAATGAGGAATTTCAATGTGTGTGTGTGTTGTCACGTGGTGCTTAGCTAAGACATTCATTCAGACATAATATGCTAACACAAGATTTAATACAAAAAAAACAATTGGTGTCATGGTAACTGTAGCTCACATTTCAGAATCAACACTCTGCCTCTAACCTTGAAACAGAGCAGACTAGAGCAGACTTTGAATCTTACTAAACTGCATTAAAGTCTAACAATTACTAATATCGAACACGTTCAAGTTTAATAGCAAAGGAACACAATGTGGGCATAAGGGACTGCCCACAGGCCAAAACAAATGAGACAAATAAACCCTATTGAAGCAGACTCGTATTAAAATGGTACTCCAGTCCTGTAGTCTATAAAGCTGGGAAACTCACAAGAGACCTATATGTGAAAAAAAAAAAAAAAACGCTGAAGCAACAGAGGCTGAGATATCCTAACCTACACTTCCCATAATGCAAGTCAAGCATGTCATTTGTTAGAAGTATGATGACATCATTTACAGAGTTTTCTAGGGTGGTTTCAGCAAAAAGCTCTAAAAACTCACTGTCGACTGCCTGCTCAGCACTACTCAGCAGACAGACACAGTTAGAGAATAGCTGGCAAACCTAGTGGAGCACTTAGCAGCTAAAAAGCCCATGTTTCCATCAGAAGTTGATGGAGACAAAAAAAAATCTAAAAGTAGAGTGAACAGTGAGCCTACATGTGCCAGGTGACAAGAAACGTGACTGCAAATGAATAGTAGTGTTGCTCTGTAATGTCTGGATGTGTAAGTAAGCAACTGTTTGCTAACAGGCTTCTCATATCACAAAACAGCAATTGGCCAGCTGTGCACAGATGTCTAAATAAGGAACGGTGTCTGAGCACTTGTTCCCATTTGTACAAGATCAGAAAGGCGTGCAGCTTGATAAGGCATAAGGCTCTTTATACATCCTTCAAGCACGGCCATTTGGAATCATTATTGTGCCTTTAGAGGTGGTGGGAGGACACTTTGTATGCCCCAGTTTGCCTCAGGAATAACAAACCCTTTAACCGTGTACATTACGGCACTTGAGCTGTTCTTCTGTGATCTTCTGACACTGAGTGGAAAAATGCAGTGATTTCAGGTATGAAGCACAAGCAAGGTGATGATACACGTCTTGTTCAAATACACACATCTCATATATTCGGCAATGGATGAGTGACCCTTTTTGGTTAAAGTAAGGTCATGCCCTCTAACAGATGTCTGAGGCACAATCTGGGTCCTTCAGGTTAATAACAGAGATGGAAAACAGATACATCCAAGGGGAATCTCTCATGCACTCAACAAAGATCAGGATGAGGAAGGTTTTGCATATGGCGGCCGACCTCACGATCCTGATCGAAACCCCTAATGGACAGCTCATTTGTCATTGAGCCAATAAGAGGACTGCTTCCAACTCAGTGGATTTGAGGAAAATAAAATGGTTGCGCCTGTGAATTAACAGAGTGTTTCCTTTTGTTCTCATTCGTTTGTCTCTCTCTGTTGAACACTTCTTGTATACATCTATTTGTATTTCATTTCTGCTGAGAAAATTCTCAAAATTAAATCATGAAAATGACAAATGAACTGATATGCAGCTCCATCCAGACCATGTTTCCACAGTAGCCCAAACCTGTAATGAATCTAGGTATTGATAAAATGTGTTTTATTGAGGGATTTTACCACAACAGAAGAACTGCAGCCCACAGCACTACATGACAACCAAAATATCTCACTGATCTGAATTCCTGTTGGTGTTTTGATTATTTTGTCCAGTGGGTGCCTTCATAAAAATGTGGCAGAAGACTGTATTTTTCATAGTAGCATATAAAACAATTTGTATGTTTTTATTTTTGCTTTTCACGCAAGTTTATTTTGAAGGTTGCTACACATGGTCAAATCTGCATTGAACCAAAACTCAGGTGCCACTAAACAAGTACATTTTTGTTACTAATGGTTTCTGTTTCATTAAAGCATTAGCAACAAGTATAATCACTATGGATTTCTGTGCAAGGGAGAGAGAGAGCAACCACAGATGGAACATTAGCTGGGACACAAATAGTTCTTGGGACTCACTAGTTTGATGCACTAGTGGTAATGCTGCACTACAGAGGGATATTTATCCCACAATTTAAAACTGAAGTATATTATTGTAGTATTTCATACATTAATCAAATGACTATGTGTAATTTGAAAGGCCTACCTGCCCAGCACCAAATAATAGACAACTGAACTAGGTGGTGAATGTAAGAGAACTAAAGAGATAGACATTTCTCTCAGGAGAGAATGAGATAGTTAAAAAAAACATTCATATTCATCAAGACTAGAAACACGACTTCAAACAAAGGTTAAAGTCCCCCAGTATCTCCTGGATGTGTAAACATTTTGCTTTCACTTGAGCTATAAATTTGCAAGATGATACAGTATGTCAGACACTGTGTTGTAAAAATCTGTTAATGCAGCTCGGACACAGGATCCACTGTACCTCTCAAAAACACTGTCTCCGTGTTTTTATTGTAATAAAAGAAAAAAAGTCAACTTCAACTTTCAATAACATACAAAGCTCAGGTTCACTTAACAATCCTCGCATTACTCAGTAGAAACATTAACTGCATACAAAACAAACTCATTTTTGAACATGCACAGTGACAAAACGTAACTCAAAAAAGGTCATAAGATGATTTTATGTCCAGCCATAAAAGTGTATTAGGTGTGAAGTTAAATTAAGACGTTAAGGAACAGTTGCAGAGTATGTGCAAAGTTTAAGTAGCATGCTTATTGTCCTGCCTTCCACTCACTAAAACCGTGTAATAACTTGTGAAGTTTTTGGGATCTGTACTCTATGACAGCTTGCAATTGTCTTCTTCTCTTCCG